GGGCCAGAGCAGCCAGTACTTTAATTGCTATTTAGTCTTGAATGTCTTGTGAGGTAAGGACTACAAACTCCATCTCACAGCCGAAGAAACTAAAACTCAGGGAGAGTAGGTGGCTTGGCCAAGGTCTTAGCCCTGTAAATTAACATGGCTAAGGTTTGATCCCAGTTGTGCTAACTCCAGATAATAAACAACAGTGAACATTTGTTGAGGGCTCCCTAAGTGCCAGGGTCTATTTAATTAAGTTCCCCCCAATACATGTAGATCTCATTCAGCATTCAGGATAACCTTATTAATTAAATACTGTTATCTCTTTTCACAAATAAGAGCACTGGGGCACAGAGAGATTAAGTAACTTGCTCAAGGTCACACAGCACTTTCCATTATAACACATTATCTTAACTATTACCTCCAACAACTAAGGATTTACATCACAAGCCATTTGCTCCAAAACACTAAGGAAGGGACCCCTACAAAGCAAACAACAGCAAGCTGTAAATTTCTCCCAGCATGTCTGTGTGTCTCCTCTCTATTCTCTGCTGCTTCATCCTCTCCCCAGTTCCTGGATGATCCCCAACCTGGGAGGGGAAGGCTACGGCTGTCTCCAAGGCAGCAGGGTACAAAGTCCAGCCTGGGCCTTGCTTAGCACGTGGCGCCTGCCCTGCCTGCACACAGGGACATTAATAGGTAATGACTCTTGTGATGAGGAAGAGCAGGGCAGAGGAAACGTGGAAGTCTGAGGTTCTTTGGAGCCTGTGGGACCTGGAGAAGAGGAACAGGGGCAAACCCAGGGTTTGAGTCAGACAGCAGAGACCCTGGAGGTGATTCTCGCAAAAGAGGCAGAGTAGGTACCCCACAGAGTGAAGGCAGAAGACCTGATATTATTTCAGGCCAGGGGCAGGAAAGTGAAATTCAACCCTGAGACTTGGGTTGGGGGACAGAAGTTTGAGCTCCTTCAAACTGGGTTGCCTGAAATCTACACTCACAGAATGTCCTTAGCGGTTGAAATTTCTTCCGACATGTCTCTTTGCAACAGAATGTACCAGTGAATGCTGTCTCATGCTCCGCTTGGTATTTGCCAGCCCCTAAATTCTTACTGAACTTCCAGCTATCACCCACCCCTGGGAGCAGGACCAGGGATGCCCCAAACCTTGTTTTCAGGAGCCTTCTGCCAGTCTGAGCTGTCCCCTTTGTGCCCCTACAAAAAGCTTAGCCCCAACATGCAGCGCCCAGCCATGGGTAATTACCAGTATAGGGTCTGCCTCCCACCTTACAACACCAGCAATTTGAGGGCACAGACTGGGTCCAGCTGTGAGGATGCTCAAAACATTCTTATTAAATGAGTAACTGACCTCTGGCCCTTGGCCCCAACCCCCTGTGGCCCCTAAACTGGCTGGCTCCTTGGGCTCCTATGGGCCTCTCTATGGGAAGGAAGGGGTTAAGCACTCTGACCTCCCCTGCTTGAGCTCAGCCCTTAGACCTAGAAGAGGTTTGGCGTGGTCTAAAGACACTGCCCCGGGGGCATGGGAGAGCCTGGGGTCACACAGTTTTTAATAGTTAGGTGCTCCTCAGGCAGGGCCTGTAGGGAGCTTCAGATACCCCTGGCTTCATCCCAAGGCTCAGAGGCATCCTAGGGCCTGGTGGGGAGGTCGGCTGGGTCTCTTTGATGTTCCTCTCTGGTCTCAGGGCCTCAGCAGATTCTGCACAGCTTTGGGAATTGTTTTGGAAATGCTCTGTGTGAAATCCAGCCTCTTCCAGTGATGGTCCTTGAGGATCCCACCAGTGAGGCCCCTCACTGGGACACACCAGGGTAGAGGCCGCTCTGCCTGACGGATCTGGCCGGCCAGAGGCAGCTTCCACGCTCCCAGTACCTCCTCCCTTCCTCCCACCACGACGAGTCTGCACCAGCTCCTCAGCTATTTCTCAGGCCTAAGAAACGCCCTTAGGCAGGCAGGGGGCCCTGAAAAGCTTCTAACTCTTGTTCTGAGGTCAAAACGCAGAGAGACGTCTAGTTTCCCTTCTCCCAACCCTCACCTCTCAGATACTGCCCCAGACTCTCTCCACATGCCTCAACAGCCCTGAGCTGGGGGCACTAGGTAGGAGAGGGACTTGCCCACAAAGTGGGCACCTCAGAGAAGCCGCCAAAGCTGGAAGGAATTTCAAACCCTGAGCCGTCCCCGCCCCTGGAAGGCAGAGGGAGAAAGACTGGCAGAAGATGGATCCGTTTAGCAGTTCCTGAACCCGGAGTCCCCGCGCTCCCTCCCTCACTTTGCTGGGGATCCCTGCTGCCAGCCAAACGACCCTCGGGTATCCCAGCCCACCCAGAGCCATCAGGGGGCTGGAAAAGGGAGGGGCAGTGCCGGGGTGTCCACCCTCCACCCACCGCGCCCAGGACTCCGGAGTCCCAGAAGCCTGGGTCGCCCCGCAGCTCTGACCTTATGCCGGAATTCTCGGGCCACTTTTCGGTCCATGGCTGGGCCAGATCCAGACGCGTCAATTCACGACCAGTTCTTTCAGGGGCCCGGCTGCCAGGAGCTGGAAAGGAGCTGCAACCGCGACTCGCTCGGCAGCCCTCTGATCTGGGGGCGGGGCCTGAGCGCGGAGGGGCGGGGCCGGGCCGCTGTGGGGCGGGGCCGCTGCGAGGCTGGAGTGGCCGGTGCTGAGTCGTCGCCTCCCACTGAAGCGTGGGAGCAAGTGTGCCTATGGGCCTGTGGTGGCGGTAGCTGGGTTTCAAGGTGGTATTCCTCTTGAAGTGGTACCCGAACACATGCGTTTGAGGAAGAGGATCGTGGAGACGTAGGGAGGAGGTTTGGAACTTTTTTGTGGGGACCAGAATAGAGAGATCTGGAAACTGTGCACACGGGTGGGCAGGGGGCGGGACAATCTGGTCAGTTTTCTCTGGATACTCATGTTGAGGCTCATCGCCCTCCTAGACTGTCAGCCCTTGCCATGCGCTCACCTTCAGCGTACCTTCCGTCCTGGCCTTCTGCACTTTTCCACTAGGGAGAAATCAGTCCTTGTTCTGTGAATTCCTTGGGGGCAGGGCTGGGTTTTATTGTGGTCCACAGGGTTCTGAACCAATGTGTGTGGGAGTGGCCCCCTCAACTGACTTCCTCTCTTACCTTCCCTAGCACCTCCATCCCCAACAAAACAAGAAAAAAGAAACCCAAACCCAACACACTCACATATCCACCAAAGCCTGGCAGAGCCTCGCAGTGACATTCTGATCTATGCTGACCTTCACCCAGGGCCCAGATCCTCTGGTTCATTTAATTCAACTCAGCCAACATTTGCTTAACTCCTAGGTCTAGTGCTGGGTGCAAAGACAATGATGAACCAGGCCTAGAAAGGAATGAAAGGAAAGGGGCCAGAGAGGGGTGATTAAAACGTGTGAATCAGGGGCTGTTAAATATGGCACTTGTGCTTGAACTTGCCCCTGCCTTTGACAGGGCCAAGGAGATGGACAGCAGCTCACCTCAGGTAACCACTTACAATTGTAACTTAGGAGTATGTAAACACCCCCTCTCTGCATCCCTCTCCCCAGTAGCTGAAGTTTTACAAGCACACTATTTTCGTTTGGGCTAAATTATTGCCTAGTTTAAGCTGTAAATCATTCTTGGAGAAGAACCTTAAAATATGATCTGTGTTCTCACCTTAGTATTAACTATTAAGTCAGCGATAAAAAGGAATGACTTGTGGGATTTTTGAATGGTCCAGAAAAGACTACACAAAATACACTCTCTTCTGACTGACTTCATTGATTCTCTACATTTAAAAAGAATGCCATATGGCTGTTTCTTTTGTGTTTAGAATCCTGGCAGAGTGGTGAGTGAATGTCCTTATCCTGGGGAATGCTGTTCACCTGCCACCCCAATCCTTATTTTACATGGCATCACCCATGCGGCACTCCCTCCATCTTAAAATGGTCCCCGTTTTGTTTTGAGAATAGCATTGAGTCCTGATTCTCCTCTCCCATGAATCTTTTTTTCAAGCTTCTTTGGAGACAATCTGTCTTCTCCCATTCCTTAACCAGTGTTCCTTAAGGCTCCATCCTTAGCTCTTTCCTCTTCATCTTCTTATCTGTGCCGCTGGCTTCCTCCTGTGTGAAGATAGCTATGTATGCTTTATTTATCACTAGATGCCTAGAGCACTGCATGCCATGGAATTGATGCCAGACAAATTTGTTGAGTGAATGAATGAATGAATTAATGCATCTCAAATCTATACCCTTGCCTAGGAGTCTACTGGGGACAATACCACCTCCACCACCACCATCATCATCCTACGAAAGACCTGGCATCTAGTTGGTGTTCCCTAAGTGCTGACCAGGTGAATGATGGGCATGTTCCCAAGGGGCTCAGTCCCATGTTTTCACCATTTTAAAATTCCTCCTGGGCAGACAGTGTGCCTTGTTCACGCAGTTAAAGTTGTTTTGTCAAAGTTTGGCCCTGATGGTGGCAATAACATAGGAGTATGAGACACGTTTATTATTCAGCCATCATTTCCTGAGCTAGGGCAGGAGCTGGTCCTGGGTATTCAGAGGACTAAGGCATGATCCATTCCCTAGAGGTGCTCAAAACGGGGCATAGGATAGGGATGTGGAGACCCAGGTGGAAGCTGTGGTGGGGCGTGGTGGGAACACAGGCTAGGACTCCACAGGCTCTGCTACTGACCTCTGACTCCTGAGTGGCATGTCTCAGGGCCTCAGCATGGCCCTCTGTAAAAACAGAAGGAAGGGCCAGACTCATACCCGCATCTTGGATCTCTGGTGTTGGGCTTCCAGGACCCAGGGAAGGGGAGCTGGAGGTTGCACAGGCTGCCTCTTTGCTCCCCTAGAAAATTTAGGGCTCAGTAATCTGAATCCGGCCTCCCCTGGGGAGGAGTAGCCACAGGCCAAGAGGAGCAGAGGCTGGGCGTGGACAGGCGCCTAAATTATGATAATAAGCCGGCACTCCTGTCACTCCAGCTCGGGGAGGAGCCGAGCGCCAGGGAGGAGGGGCTGAGGGAGCCCTGGGCCAAGAAAGCAAAGAGGGACCTCGGCTGCGGAGTGGAGGTGCGACCCTGCTGTGGCTCGGAGAAGCACCGCGGGAGCCTGGCCTTGTGCTCAAGTCCCCCGGTCCCCTCGCGTCCATGAGGGTCCCGGCGTCTGCGCTCTGCTGGCTGCTTTGTGTCTGGCTGCCCCAGGGTGAGCCGGCGGCTGAGTCCCTGCGGGTGCAGCGTCTCGGTGAGAGGCGTGTGGACTCAGGGAGGTCTCTGGCTTGAGGAAAAAGTAACGTTTAGAGGAACCGGCTGGGGCAGGTTGGAGAGAGGGAGAAACGAGAGGTTTGCGGGAGAGCAGAGGGACCCCCAGGAGGAGTGGTCAAGAGAGGAGGGACCCCGAAGGCAAGAGAGGCAGGCCTGTGACCGTAAATGGAAAGTGTCCCAAGCAAGGCTGGGTGCAAGAGACCCAAGATGGGGAACTAGAGAGAACTGGCGGCCAAGGAGTGAGAGGAAAGTGGGGGATCCTTGCTGGAGAAGGGTCACCAGGAAGGGAGAGAAAGGATTTGAGAAGGCTGCAGGGAGGGAGAATGGGGGAGTGCCCGGTGGTGTGGGAGAGGCTTTCTAGCAGCTGGGGTCGGGTGGTGGGAGGCCGCAACGAAGAGAAGCACAACTCGAGTGGAGAATGATCCCCTCCCTAGTCGCAGCACCGGCTCCATGGAGCAGTGCAGAGCTGCGGCGAGAGCCAGCCGGGGAACCCAGGTGAGTAGGTGTGAGCTGTGGCAGCCCACCCACAGCCCCCATCTGTATTTCTGGCATTGGTGACCCCGGGGCTTTAGCACTTAGGGTGGAATAGGCCTGGTGACTGTGAGGAGGCATAACCCGTCCTGGCCACCAATTCAAGCCAGACTCATTTCTCCTGCAGCAGCAGCCACCAGGAGGTGGCCATTGCCATGGGGGATGCTGTCACAGTGATGCGAGGCCAGGTAAGGAGTTCTGAGGAGGGGGCTTCACTGGGCAGGAGCTCATTTCTCTCTGGATCTGAGGCTGGCAGGGAACTCTGTAGGTTACAGGAGGGGTCTCTGGACTTGTTCAGAAGGGGACAAACAAACTCCTGCTATATGTCTGAGGTCTGCAGATTCATAAAACCCTCTCTTCCTGCTTTCCTAATCTCTTGGGGGTCTGTAGCCCAGTCTTTTTTTTTTTTTTTTTTTTTTTTTTTTTAGGAGAGGTGGGCACAGTGCTCTTTCAGGAGGGAGCTGAGCTCTCCCTTCCAGCAGGTAAAAGTAGAAAGATGAACGTTTAGAAGAATGGAGTTTTATTTTCCCTGACCGGCCTGCAAAGACCCTCAACCCTGTCAGAGGCCCCTCTCCATACCCGGAGCAGAGCCCCAAGAATGCTACTGAGAGGCAAGACAAAAACTAGGCCACCTGGTGGAAGTTGCGAGGAAGGATTGGTCGAGAAGCAGAGCCTGGAACTCTTATCCTTTGGGCCTTTTTTCCTTTTTTCTTTCTTTCTTTTTTTTTTTTTTTTGAGCTAGGGGTCTTGGTCTGTGGCACAGGTGGAGTGCAGTGGCGCAATCATAGCTCACTGCAACCTCGACTTCTGGGCTCAAGTGATCCTCCTGCCTCAGTTACCTGAGTAGCTAGGACTATAGGTATGTGCCACTGTGCCTGGCTGAATTTCAGTTTTTTTTGGTAGAGACAGAGTCTCACTGTGTTGCTCAGGCTGGTCTTGAACTCCTGGCCTCAAGTGATCCTTCTGTGTTAGCCTCCCAAAGTGCTGGGATTAGGCATGAGCCGCTGAGCCCAGACTTCATCCTTTAAGTCTTGACCGTTCTATTGCCCACCTTCCTAGGGTCTTCTGTGTTTGTGAGAGAAGTGGCAGTTTTGTTTTCTCCCTTTGCCAGACTTCTTTGGTCTCTGGATCAGGTGACTCAGGTCCACTTTCTAATCCTGCCCTGCATAAATTTCCCCCACCTGCAGCTAGGTCCCCCAAAGCAGCTGAGCCTCAGCTCAAGTGTCCCAGCAGTCAGCTCTGGGGAGCCCCTTGAGTCAGCAGGTTGGGGAGAATCATTTATAACAGCAATGAGTTCCAACTCCTGCCCTTTGGAAATAGACATGAAGGCCCCAAGGTGGAATGAGGGGGATAGGGTGGGTATGCTTCTTTTCTGGTGTGGATTTCCTGGATCTTTTACTTCTTCTTTGCCCACTCTTCCAGGCCCTAAGATTTAGAATCACAGTCAAATACAGTTTGAGTTGGAAGGTAATGGAGCCATGTTTTTGTAGGTAGGGAAGTTGAGGTGGATGGATGACTTGCGGGGGTCCCACAATGAGCAGGTGGAGCTAAGTCTCCTGGCAGAGGCAGGCCGTGCACTCAGGAGTCCAGGAGTCCCTGCATTTTAGTGGGGAGATAACCCTTCTCCAAACACTTCTTTTCCCTGCGGGCACCCTCCCGTGCAGCTTTCCAGGGTAGGCATGCTCCTTTTCCCGGGGGAAGAGGCACCAGTGAGTGGACCGGGCAAGCCGGGCAGGTTTCTCACACTGCTCCTTAGAGCAACAAGGGATTAGAATGGCCTCCCTCTAAGGTGACAGGATTGTGGGGTGGGGGACTGAGGCCCATGTACCAGGGATACTTTGAGGGCTCCTGTTTGGAATGCCCTCTTCAGGAAGTGGGGTTGGGCCCCAGACCAGTAGGCAACCAATCTTCATTTCAGTGCTGTCCCCTCCTGCAGAGCTCAACCACTCTCGAGAGAATTGTTGCACACAGGTGTCCATGAACTTGGACAGGGAAAAATAAAAACACATTGTTATTTACAGGAACCTCAGTCCAACTGAAATTCAGCATCCCTTTCAATTATTATTATAGTCTGCAAACCACAGGAGTATTTGCACTGTTTTGACTGTCACCAATAGACATCACGGATAGCTTCCTACCACTTATAGCTGTTGCTGTCTCAAGATATTATTCTGTTCATCACTACTTCAAAATTTTGGCAATGATAAGGCCCACTGCTAGATCTTTTATTTAATGTGTTATTAAAGAAGCTCAAATATTACTAAATTGCATTTATTTTTTTTGAGATGGAGTTTCACTCTTGTTGCTCAGGCTGGAGTGAAATGGTGTGATCTCAGCTCGCTGCAACCTCTGCCTCCAAGGTTAAAGCGATTCTCCTGCCTCAGCCTCCTAAGTAGCTGGGATTACAGGCACGTGCCACCATGCCTAGCTAGTTTTGTATTTTTAGTAGAGATGGGGTTTCACCATGTTGGTCAGGCTGGTATTGAACTACCGACCTCAGCTCATCCACCTGCCTTGGCCTCCCAAAAGCGCTGAGATTATACGTCTGAGCCACCGCACCTGGCCTCAATTATACGTTTTTATAAAATATTTTCATAAAATGATACTGCACTATAAGTGATTTTCTTTGAGACCTTATCCTTTATTTTGTGTATTTAAAAACATTATTCTGAGAACGTGTCCACATAAGTTTCACTGGATTATCATAAATGATTAAGAGCACCTGATTGATTAACCCCTGAAGACGAATCATTTGGACAGGATTTAAGGAATCCTTTAGAAAATGGCTTTGACTCTGCACTGCGGGCTGTCTTATCCTCATAACTCACCTATCCCAGAGGCCACATCTGAAGTGAGAGTGAAGTGTGAAGACACAAAGACTGATTTTAATGACAGCTCTCTGGTGGCTACAGGATGGGGTTGTTTCCCGTGACCCAGCCTTCTCCTATTTCCTGTGGTCTCTGAGGGCCCGGTGAGATAGATTAGTACCCAGGTGCGAGGCCTGACTCCTGGGGCTGGGCCTGGGTCAGCTGGGTAAGGATTGCTAGGGAGAACCTGGGAACCCGAGGTCAAAGTGGGTGAGGACACCAGAACCTGGCAAAGATGTCAGAAAGACCGTGAAGACGAAGGGCAGTGCATCAGGGAACCAGCTGGCCTGGCTGTGCCTGCCAGGGTGGGGCCAGGAGCTGGGGTTGGCTCCAGGGACCAAGGGCCGGAATATTTCCTATGTTCCAGTCCTTTGCTGGATGACTGCGAGGGAGGATGATGTGGAGGTAAACACCTACAGTGCGATTGCTGGCTTTTTTGGCCCTGTGAACACGCACATAAGCTCCATCAAGGCAGGGACTCTGCCTTGTTCACTGTACCTAGCACAGTGCCTGACACATGGTTCTGGGGATGTTGTAGAAAGGAGGAGGCTGAGCCTCTAAGGGAGAGGAACTCGCCTGTGCCCGGGATGCCAGTACCAGGTGACATTAGAGGTCTCGGACTGGGGTTCTGAGAGGGCCAGTGTCCAAGTCATCTAGCTGTGTGGTGATTGAACACCTATGTTGTTAGACCGTCCTGATTTCAGGAGTTCATGTCTGGAGAGACCATGCTCTGGGAATTCTGTCTGGAAAACAAGTCTTCTTAGCCACACTTGTCCTGTCTCCTCCTCGGACCTGAGCTGTTAGGGCAGCAGTCCTGACTGGGAGCTGGGTGGTGGGGACAGTGGGTGGTGATCCGTGGGCTGCTGTTTTTGCTGTTCTTGGAAGATCCCCAGAGGAAGGTTGGGGTGGGGGTGGCTGTGGGGGTGAGATGTTCCCCTGACCTGGGGTGAGGGGCCGCCTTTGTTCCTTAGCTCTTCCTCAGGCTGTTCATCTAGATAAGGGATCGTGTGTGAGGCTGTGGAGGACGTGAAGGTTTACTGGGAGGAGGGAAGAGAGGAGGCTGGCGGGTACTGGGGCATGGAGGGGAGGGGGTGTGTTCTGGCTATGGGCCTCATGCTCTGCCACAAAGATGCCACCTGGGAAGGTCAGAGCTAGGCCTTTGTTCCTCTGGGCCCAGGGCAGGCCCAAACACTCTCCTCTGCCTCTCAAAGGCACCAGGCAAGGAGTGGCTGGGCACTGAGGGCAGAGCTCCTTCCTCTAAGAGATGAACAGGGAGGGCCGTGGCCACCAGGAAGCCGGCCAGGAACTCGCCCTGAGGTCAGCCCTCAGTGTGTTCCCTTCCTCCTGTCTTTACAAGCAGCCTGAAGCCCTGGACGCTGCGGCCATGTCTTCCTGGGAAAGGCGGCTCCATCGAGCCAAGTGTGCCCCGTCCTGTAAGTGGCACCTTCGCTGTGGCCCATGGGTTGTGTGCGGGAGTGCCCCGGCCCACGGAGAGGCTGAGAGGGCAGGTGGGGCTTCCCTCAGGCCTCCGTGACCCCTTTTTTCTGCTCGAAGTCTCCTTCTACCTGCCCCAGCCTAGGCCTCCCTCCATTTTGCGTTCTCCTCCCTGCCTGTGGAGAGCTTCCTCTCTAGAGTGCTATTCCTATGACCACGGCCCAGGACTTCCCTCACAGGCTGACTCCAGTGAGGCTGTGCTTCGTTACCTAGCGGTGGTTTCCCCTCCATCTCACCCTGGTTCTGTGGCTGCCCTCTACTTCTCATGCTATTGCCCTTCATCCTCTGTTTTCTGTCCTGTGTCCATGGCTGCCCTCACCTGTCCTGGGTTTGTAGCCTCTCCTCCCACCTGTCCTGTGTCCCCCACCTGTCCTGTGTCTGTCCCTACCTCCTCTCACCTGTCCTGTGTTCCCCACCTGTCCTGTGTCCCCCACCTGTCCTGTGTCCCCACCTGTCCTGTGTCCCCCACCTGTCCTGTGTCCCCACCTGTCCTGCATCCCCCATGTGTCCTGCATCCCCACCTGTCCTGTGTCCCCCACCTGTCCTGTGTCCCCCACCTGTCCTGTGTCCCCACCTGTCCTGTGTCCTCCATGTGTCCTGTGTCCCTACCTGTCCTGTGTCCCCACCTGTCCTGTGTCCCCACCTGTCCTGTGTCCCCCACCTGTCCTTTGTTCCTCACCTGTCCTGTGTCCTCCACTTGTCCTGTGTCCCCCACCTGTCCTGTGCCCCTCACCTGTCCTGCGTCCTCCACCTGTCCTGTGTCCCCATCTGTCCTCTCACATCATGGCTCCTTCCCTCACCATCCTTGCTTTGTTTTGTCTCCTCTTCATATGTGGCTGTTCTTGCTACAGCCTTGCCCCCGTTGCCTGGTTCCCCCTGTGGCCTCTTCCTGAGCATGTGGAGCAGTGAGGAGGAGCAGCACCAGCAGATCTCTGGGCAGACCCCCTGCTCACCTACATGCTCCCCAGTCATAGCTCCTCCGGCCTTGCTAGCCAGGAACAGCTCTAGGAACTGAAGGCCCGGGTGGGGCTGGCCTGGGGGCCACCTGATGCATATTGGAGGCTGATGCCCTGCCACCCCACCCCACCCCACCTGCCTGCCAGAGATGGGGCAGGGCTGTGGTCAGAGGCACCAGCTTGTGCCCGAACTCAGGCTACTTGCTGAGGAATGTTGGGGCTGGGGCTGCCCTGGGGGTCTGGGTCCTGTGAATCCTGAGAGCGCTGCCTCCCTGGGTTCTGCCAATCTCAGCTTGATGGGGCAATGCCTCTGTGTCTCCCATGCAGACTTGTTCTCCTGCTTCAATGGTGGTGAGTGTGTGCACCCGGCCTTCTGTGACTGCAGACGCTTCAATGCCACTGGACCTCGCTGCCAGATGGGTGGGTCTGGGCTCCACCCCACCCCTGGGAGGGACCATGGGTGCAGGGAAAGCTAGGGGGAAAGGGGGCAGCACTTCCAGGGCTGGAACCCACCAGCCTCTGGCTTGGTGCCCACTGAAGCTACACAGAGAGGTTCTCTTTTCCCTGCCTCAGTGTACAATGCCGGCCCTGAGAGGGACAGCATTTGCCGGGCGTGGGGGCAGCACCACGTGGAGACATTTGACGGGCTCTACTACTACTTTGCTGGGAAGGGCAGCTACACACTGGTGGGGCGCCATGAGCCTGAGGGAGAGAGCTTCTCTATCCAGGTGAGGCCTCCCCTGCCCTGCCTGTCCAGGAAGGTTTCTTTAGGCCCTGGAGGCTGCCCTGGGCTGGGATCTGCTTGTCATGGTTAAAGAGACTGGCCCCTTCTTCTTTGCATAGCCCCCAGCTCCCGCCCAGGCAGTCTGCACCTGGAAGACTGGGGGCTGGGGCTCCACAGCTCTCGCTCACCCACTCACCCTGGCCATTCATTCATTGAGCCACTCATTCATCAGGTATTTATTAAGTGCACACTGTACTCTTTTCTGGCATAAGGTTTGGTGTTGCGAGGCCCTGTGGACACAATACAGATGTAGCCTTTGTCCTCACAGAACTTACAGTTTAATGAAGAAAGACATCATCTCAGATGACTCATTTCAAGTGCAACTGAGTGCTACTGAGGAGAAATGCCAAATGCTAAAAGAACATGTCCTGAAAACCTAATCATGTTTATTGGGAAGGACGGTGACCCGGGAAAGCTTCCTGGAGAAAGTAACATTTAAGTTGGGATCTAAGGAATAAATTGGAGTTAGCCAAGTGAAGAGTAGGAGAGTGTGGGCAGACTTGAGAACATTCTGGGCAAAAAGATCAGTAGGTGCTTAGAAAGAGAATAGTGCCTCAGAGGACATGATGGAGGTCCTGGATGACTCAGTTTAGAGTTACCTCCTCTAAGAAGCCCTCCTGAATCCCCTGACCTTCCAAGCTGGCTGAGGAGCTCCTCACTGGGTAACTCAAAGTTCCACATTATGACCCTGTCATTGTATTTCTCTTACAAAGATCTGGTTTTGGGTTGGTTTCCTCTGTCAGCTGTGAGCTTTCTAGGTCAGGGGCCATGTCTTTCTGTTTCACAGTGCCTGGATGGGTGCTCAGTGAAGGTTTGTGACATATAGGAACACATGTGTGAAAGCCACTATCAGGCAAGCCCGATTTTCATGCCTAGCCCGTGTGCTAAACCAGGAGTCACCTTAAGCCACAGCTCAATACCCCTCCACCTGGAGGAAAGTCTCTTTGGAGAACCAGCTCTCCAGGGCACCATGGTCAGTACCAAGTTAGGCTCAAGGGACTGAGGGTGTTGGGAGTCTCCGGTGTTCAGTGTCTCCCTTCTGCCAGCCATTTGTGATCCTTCTGTCTCAGGCATGGACCTATGAGCCTGCCCTAGGGACCATGCCCTGGATGGGCTGGGAACTGCAACCAATTTCCCTGTCTCTACCTCAGCCTGTCACATAGCAGAGATTTTCATGACCCATCATTTTGTGATGGATATGTTACAATTACTTCGATGGGTTGCCGTATATTTGTGGGATACAAAATCAACTTAACAAACAACCATCATAAAACATGAGACAAATAAAATAGAAAATATTGTAAGAATGCCTTACATGATAGGGATAAGTATTGTGTTGTAAAACTTTCAGTTCTATATATTTCTTATTGTGGGTCATGGTCACAAAAGCATGAACACCCTTTAGTGAGACCATGGGGGAGCTTTCGCAGTTCCCACTTGAAGTGGCTCCAGCTTGCTTAATCACACTGAACAGTAATCTGGTAGAAGGTGCGTTCCTGTGAAGGGTTTCCACACTTGGCAGGGGTAAGCTTTGGGGAAGCTCTCCCTGCAACCCCACCCCGTCCTTTGGGTCTATGGTCTTTGAAGTCTGGGTTCTGCCTGAACAGGGGGCAGAGGAGATGTGTCTGTGTGTGTGTTTGACAGCAGCACGGGAGCTGCATGTGTGCCTACGTGTGTAGGGGAAAGGTACAATCCATACCTGCCAGGGGCATGGGAGAAAGGGAGTGTGTATATAGCATGTGCACAGAGAATGTCATGTGAGAATTCATGGAGTGTGTATAGATGCGTGTGTTTGTGTTCCGTATGAGTGTGAAATGGTGTGAGTACGTCTGTTGGCCTTCAATCTGTTGGGGTAGCCTGGGTAGGATAAACAAAAAGGTTCAGAAATAGGGAGATGGCATGATTGACTGGGAAGAGACCTGGAATCAAGCCATCCAGACCTGAGCTAGCATCCCAGCTCTGTGATTTCCTAGTTCTGTGTGTGCAGTCTTAGTCACTTCACCTCTCTGTGAATCCATTGCCTCCCCTCTGTGACGTATGGGGACTGGGTGAGATCACAGAGGAAAGGCAGTTGATGTGCAGGAGACAGGCCATCAGCATTAGTGGAAACTCAACAAGGTACGAAGCTCAGGGTCAGGCCTGTGGCAGAAGCCTGCAAACCGCCCTTTGAACTCCCTACTCAGGTGCACAACGACCCGCAGTGCGGCTCTTCCCCCTACACCTGCTCCAGGGCTGCCAGCCTCTTCTTTGCCGGTGAGCAGGAGATCCATCTGGCCAAGGAGGTCACCCATGGAGGTGTGAGGTAACTCTAACACCTTCCACACTGAGCTGTCCTATCCCTGTCACTGGTGATGACGGATGGGTGAGCATCTGCTCTTCTCAAGCCCAAAGGAAATTGTTTTCTGGGGACAAACAGCAATTTTCACCAACTGGACAGAAGCATACCAGTGGGTCACTGGGTTTCTTGCCACTGGGTTTTTGAAGAATGACGATTTCTTTTTTTTCCTGGAACTCTCAGACCTTCTTAGTTTCCAGACAGTAGGATTTCAGGAAAATAGAGTTTTCCAGAGAGTTGAGAGTTTACCATGATAAACATGCTTACTTTTCCCTCCCAAAATTTTTACAGAATCTTCCCAAATGGATCATCCTCAGTTTCTGCCTCCTCCCAGCACATTCTGAGCACACTTTTACCCACTTCTGATGACACCGGGTCATTGTGAATGTCAGTTATCTTGCTGGGCCATCAGGGATGCTGGGGGGACCACCAAAGGATTAATGACCCCTTGCTCTACACTAAATGGCCCCAGACTGTGGTCGTTTGTGAAATCTTTCTTGCGTCTTTTCCTCACTGTTCTTTCCTTTCCTTGCTGTCCACTGTCTCTTCATGTTACCGTCAGGGGGTCTTCCTGTAATGACACTTCTCCCTGTCCTCATATGCTGCTTCATATCTGGAAACTAGGCAACCAAGTGTCTGGGGCTGAGTGTAAAATTAATGGCCCATAGGCTTCTCCTGTGAGTAAAGAGTTGGTAAATGGGTCTTGTGTCTACTTAGACACTACTTTTGTTTCTGTTTCCTGATATTTTGCTGGGTTGAAGGTTGCCAAATTCCAGATTGGCTAGGGGTACCTGTACCAGGAGGACTGGGAAAGTGGTCAAGGCTGCTGGGCCCGGCCTCTTTTCTTGCACTCCCAGCTTTCCTCCTCTCTTGACTTCTCTTTCCACTTGGTTCCTGTGCTTCACCAAAAAAATATAGCGGATGTTTGCTTGTATTCTCTCCTGTCTGGGAGGAAGGAACTTGGAGTCACTTACTCTAAGATTTATCCCTGCCCGGGAAATTGCCATTTTAAAAAACCTTTAAAGACAAAAGAATCCAGCTTTAATGGTACACTTCTAGGCACCTGGGAATTCTGAGCATTCATAGGGAGGGGAAGTGGGGGCCTTGGATTATGGGGTAGGGACTGGCTGTTCCTTTGGTGAAGGGAGGTGCTTGGATATCCTGAAGCTCTGGGATGTGCTCTGCAGGGTCCCACTGCCACATGTGATGGGGAGCGTACGTCTGCAGCGGCTTGCCGGCTACATCATCGTGCGGCATCAGTCAGCCTTCACCCTGGCCTGGGATGGCGCCTCGGCTGTCTACATCAAGATGAGTCCCGAGTTCATGGGCTGGACCCATGGGCTATGCGGGAACAACAATGCTGACCCCCAGGATGACCTGGTGACCCGCTATGGTGAGGCACAGACAGGTGGCCTCTGAGAGGTTTTGGGGAGGAGGGGAGCAGGTCAGGCTGGGAGGGGTCAGAGGGGACTTGGAACAGAGCCCTGCGGTCATGGCCATGGTATTAAAGATGCAGCAGAAGGCCAAGGACCTCTTCCCAACAAATGTGTGTTCTTGGGCATGTTCTTAACGTACACTCAACCTCAGGTTCCTCATCTGCAAAAACAGTCATAATGAGAATTCCCACTATGGTTGTGTGGGGATCTAATGGGCACTTTGCCAGTGGGATTGACCCTGCAATGTGGGGGATGGGGTGGACAGGCAGGGAGCAGAGGGCCAGAGACAGCCAGGAAGAGAATTGGCCCAGCTAAAGATACCCATGGAGGAGTGGTAGGAAGTAAGAGTGGAGCGTTCAGGGCCAAATTATGGTGGCTCTGGCCAGAAGGGTTGCAACCCCTTTTGAGTAACTACACCATACTAAACACTTTACATGCATCACCTCAAGTAGTCCTTGCAACAATCTCACTGGGAGATTATGTTCCCTATGGCAAATACGGGGAAACTGAGGCTCAGAGAAGCACAGAAACTTGTTGAGGCTCACACACCAGTTCTCTTTCCAGTGCGTGGTGCTGCGTCAAGTTTGGCACCATAGGGAGCTGCCAAAGGCTCCTGACTGTTCTTGCCTATTACTACCAAACAGCTTTTTCAGGAGAATGGCTCAGCTGGGAAGCTCTGATTGGGATGGGCACTCAGGAGACTGGATTCTTCAAAACTCCTTACCCATCCCTTGGCATCGACTTTCCCTCAGAGCCCTCTGTCCCTCCTGTCCACCCGACCCCACCGCCGCCCCATCGTCATGGCAGTTCCCTCCTCCAGGGAAGCTGACTGACGATGTGGCTGAGTTTGTGCACAGCTGGCAGGAGAAGGCCCCTAACCAGCCTCCAGGGCCCACAACCTCCTCCCTGCCTCGCCCACCATGCCTGCAGCAGAGCCCAGGAACCATGCAGGTCTGGACCCTGGGGAGAGACTCCCCTACCCTAGAGCCTGGCTTGCTATCCAACTCTTGGAAAGCCACTGGCTGCAGGACCCTGTGGCCCCATCCCTCTCTTCTCTACGCCTTCCCTCTGGCCCAAGTTGGGTTTCCGCATAGGGCTGTGTGTGGCTTTGCCAGCCTCTAGCCCTGGCTCCTGGCCCATTGCTCCAGGGTGTGTATGAGAAATGTGAGGCTCTCCTGCGGCCCCCCTTTGATGCCTGCCATGCCTACGTCAGCCCTCTGCCCTTCACAGCCAGCTGCACCAGTGATCTTTGCCAGTAAGTGGGGGTGGTGTGGGCTATGGGGAACCCTCTAGTATTGGGGTGAGTGCTCAGCACGTGGGCCACCAAGCTGAGTGAACCCAGGCACTGCCAGATCTGCTTCCCAAAGCTCGGAAATTCTTATCTGCATAGGTGGGACTGAGCTGCCCCATTCAAGTGAAGCCCGGAAATGGGGCTGGACTCCATCAGAGTCATGCAACAAGTTAGTGGCAATGCTGGGACTAGAATCCAGCATTTGTGGCTCAAGTCTAGGGATCTGTGCACCTAGATGCCTTCCTGGGCAGCCTTGCCCAGCTGGGTGGAGAGGAGGGGGTTCCCTGAAGCCCAGGCAGTCTCTGGGATGCTGGCGGGCTGGTGGCACTTTGGGCTTTGTTCCAGTGTGACCCTTGGTTTCTCTGTACAGGTCAATGGGTGATGAGGCCACCTGGTGCCGGGCACTGGCAGAGTATGCCCGGGCATGTGCCCAGGCAGGGCGGCCCCTGCAGGGCTGGAGGACCCAGCTCCGGCAATGCAGTAGGTGCAGCGCAGTAGTGGGCAGGGAGGGCGTCAGGCTGTGGGTGGCATTCTCAGGCCTCAGCTCAATGTCTTGTCCTTCTCGGAATCACAGTTGTCAGAACTGTAAGCCCTGAGGTTTTGTTGCCATGTGATAGATGAAAAACCTGAGGCTTAGAGTGGGAGGGACTAGGCTGGGTGATTCTCAGAGCCTCCCCTTGCAATTCCTTCTCCTTGTCAATTTCCTGGGCCCCCAGTGCTCCCTCTGGAACTAGAGAATTAGGAAAATCAAAGCCCTCCCTTCCATCCCCACCCCATGGCCTGGGGTAGGAGTTGGGTCCTGGCAGAGCTGAGGCCAGTAGCTGACAGACCATGGACCCCCTCCTTCCCAAGCTGTGCACTGCAAGGAGAAGGCCTTTACCTACAACGAGTGCATCGCCTGCTGCCCTGCCTCCTGCCAGCCCCGGGCGTCCTGCGTGGACAGTGAGATCGCCTGTGTGGATGGCTGCTACTGCCCCAATGGTATGCTAGGGGCAGATGTAGGTGCCTGGCACCATCTTCCTGGCCTGGCACAGATGGGCATAAAGCAGGAGTTCAGACGATGCCTGTTTGTGGAAGGAAGGAAGGAAAGAAGGATAGAAGGAAAGAAGGAAGGGAGGAAGGGAGGGAGGAAGGAAGAGAGGGAAGAAGGGAAGGAGGGAAGAAGGAAGGAAGGGAGGGAGGGAGGGAAAAAGGGAGAAAGAAAGGAAGAAGGAGGGAGGGAGGGAGGAAGGGAGGAAGGAGCAAACAATTAACAAATAAATGAATAAAAATGGTTTAAGGGAAGTGAGGTTGGGGACAGAACAGCAGCCTCTTGAGAGATTCTTCAGGACATTTGATTTCATAGGGGTATTTAAATTAATCAGGGCTACACTTCTTAAGGTGTGTATGATGAGAACAGGTCATTCGCTTACATATACACATACATTTGTTTAAGCATGCATCCATGTGTGAAGACTTTATCGTGTTGTTTTTCAGTGTATAAATTTGCAGCACATCTATAATGTACAACTCACTTGGCTAGGAGGATGGCTGAGATAAAAAACATAAAGATACAGGCATTGACTTTCGGGATCAGAATCTGGTTTCAGGGATATGATGCTCATATGACCAGTCTAAGGTATGATGAGGTGAAGGCCAGCTCAGGGGTTCAGATGAGAAAAAAATATAGGAATTCAGAATGGGGAGAGGTTGTCAGGGAAGTATTCCTGGAGGAGGTGGTGCCTGGTGCCTAAGCTGGTTTAGATGTGCTGACAGGCTTTTGAAGGTGGTGAGGAGAAGCTCATGTGCAGGTTGGAGGTGGGGTTGTGGACAGTTCTCTGAGCAAAGGTCTAGAGATGGGATTCTTTCACCAGAAGGTGTTCACTTCTTGCTTGAGCCAAGGACTTAGAGAGGAGAAAGTTTGGGAGCTAAGAGATGAATGAAGTTAGATAAGGGGATCTTTATCGCAGGCCCAGAAGCCATGAATGGTTTGTGAACAGGGGCAGAGGTGAGTTAATTTGCCCTTTGCTGTCATTCTAGGGCTCATCTTCGAGGATGGGGGCTGTGTGGCACCAGCTGAGTGTCCCTGTGAGTTTCACGGGACTATGTACCCACCTGGCTCTGTGGTGAAGGAAGACTGCAATGCTTGGTCTGTGTCCGCTGCTGGGAAGTGGGCTGTGGGGCATGGCTGCTGAGGCTTTCCACGAGGGCTGTCCATCTGGGGTCTAGGGGCTCTCACTCAGTACCTTTGAGTCCCAGGGGAATCTCATTAGCTCCAATCCATGGAGGGAATCTCTACCACCCATTTTAGAGATGGGTGACTGAGAGCTGGGAACAGGCACACTATGGGCCCTGCAGTTTCCCAGCATCTAGCTCCGGCCTGGAGGGGTGACCCCTTGCCTCCTTGGTCTCTGTGTTTTAGCACATGCACTGCGGGCAAGTGGGTGTGCAGCACAGCTGTCTGCCCAGGTATGTCTGACCCCCACCTTGCACTAGACTCCCTTCCACCAGTCTGATAGGTTTGGGACAAGGAACCTCTGGGGGCCAGGCCTGCTGCAGGTGGGGGTATCACTCAGTTTCCTTGGCTAAGTCTGGGCCCCTTTGTTTCCTCAGAACCACTTTGCCTGTTTATGGGATGGCTCCAGCCCCTGCCAGGAAGGGTTTTCCATGAGAGAAGGCTTTGTCATGGGTTCTGTATATCTAAGGACCTTCCTGAGTTGGGTAGGGAGACTTGGACTGAGCCTGGTTCTCAAGGGCAGGCCCTGGTCTCCCCTCCGAGGGAGACCCCCAGGGCAGGGCTGTGCCTCTCTTCAGAGAGTTCTCTGGGCATAGGCCTATGTCTCCCACTGCCCAGGGCTCTCAGAGGGCAGGCCTCATTCCTTACACTGCTCTGATTCCTGAGGGTGGGGTGCTGTGTCCTGCTCATGCTTGGAGCTTGCAGGGCAGGGCTCCCCTGGGGCAGCTCCCGTGGGTCAGTGGCCTTTCTCTGCCTCTCAGCTGAGTGCTCAGTGACTGGTGACATTCACTTCACAACCTTTGACGGCCGCCGGTACACGTTCCCCGCCACATGTCAGTACATCCTGGCCAAGAGCCGCTCCTCGGGCACCTTCACCGTGACATTGCAGAACGCCCCGTGTGGCCTGGTAAGAGCTGGGGATCCCAGACCCCAGCTACCCCTGTCTACTGCCCCCAAGAGAGACCGGGACTCAGGGCAGGGCTCTGGTCTTCCCATGGCCCCCACCTGCTGCCTCTTCTCTCTGGGCAGAGCCGGGGCAGAAGACTGGGTTCTGGCCCAAGCACCTCTGCTGACTGAGAGTTACTTCCCTTTCCTGGGCCTCAGTGGGCTTTGGTTTTTGTTTTTAGATTTTACTACCTAAAATTTATATATATATATATATATATATATATACAAATATATATTTATATATATATATACAAATATATTTATATAAATTATAAATATACACACACAAATATATATTTATATAAATTTATATATAATATATAAATATACAATATGTAGTAAAACTTAAATCTATAAATTTTTATATATCTATATATAATAAATATATATAAATATATAAAATATATAGTAATATCTAAATCTATATAAATATAAATATATATATGAAAGTATAACACTGGCACCTACTTTTAATCCAATTAATTTATGAAACAAATCTCTTATAGAATACATATTGGCATTGAAACAGTTTAAAGAAATGTAGTGACTATCTACAAAAAGTTAGTTTTGATTGTTGGTTTCCTCCCATACTTTATGTGTCTTCACACAGGAAGAAAATTTAAATTTTAAAACATTTTATATTCCACAATATTTTAAAAAGGACACTGTTGTCTACTGCTATTTTTTTTTTTTTTTTTTTTTGAGATGGAGTCTTGCTCTGTTGCCCAGGCTGGAGTGGAATGGCACGATGTTGTCTCACTGAAACCTCTGCCTCCCAGGTTCAAGCGATTCTCTTGCCTCAACCTCCCGAGTAGCTGGGATTACAGGCATGCGTCACCACATCTGGATAATTTTTATATTTTTAGTAGAAATGGGGTTTCACCATGTTGGTCAGGATGGTCTCGAACCCCTGACCTCGTGATTTGACCTCCTTGGCCTCCCAAAGTGCTGGAATTATAGGCGTGAGCCACTGCGCCCAGCCTGCTATGGTCTTCATAAAGAACTTGACTTAAAATTTCAAATAAAAAAGAATTCAGGTTCTAGGATAACTCTGTGTCTTTTAAGAGCATTTTTATATAGAACAATTTGAACAACATGCAAACAACTTCTTTTGTTGTTGCATACCTGTATTAGGAAAATTATACCCATTTTACAGAAAAATCCCAAAATATTTACTGCAATAAGCGCAAGACAATGTTAGAAAGACCAGTGTGAATGGCATACAGAAATCTCTTCCTTATAAATTATTAATTGAAATTCCTGATTGTGGAGTGGGCCTCCGTGTTTTTTTAAAAAAAAATCTCTAAAATTGGTTTAATTCAACTTTATCTTCTCTGCTTCATTGGATTGCACCTTCAACATTCGTCCCTCTCTTCCTTGCTTCTTTCTTTCCATCCTTTTGTCCTTCCTTCTGCAAACATTGAATACCTAATTGTGCCAGAAGCTGAGCTGGGTGGAGACTGGGATGAATTAGAGATGGCTCTGCCTTCCTGGGCCCTATAGTTTGGTGGGCAAGGCAGACAAGTGAACCTGTTGTAACTGGGCTTCAGCAGCTGTGAGAACATGGAGGGTACAGGGTGGATCTCCGCGGGGGAACTGCTTGTTGTTGTTTTACTTGGGCTCTGGGTGGCAGCAGTGTGAAGTGGATCAGGAAAGACTTCTTGGAGGACATGACCCTTGAGCTGTGTCAGTCACCTGTGAACATAACAGAAAATGGCCAACGTGAAAGTCTGGGGTAGATGGGGGTGTTTGCCTCTCAGCGGTGACTCTGCTGTCCCTGGGCTGATCATGCGCAGCCAGTCCTGGAAGCTCCAGTCTGGGCTGTGCCCAAGCTCCTCCCCACACATCAGAGCAGGAGCTCACACCCACACCCAGGGCAGCTGCCCCCCAGTCCTGCCTCCCTGCTGGCTTTGCTCCAGCCCCCAGCACTGAGGGCCCTGAGTGCGAGCAGGCATCAGCTGAAGGTGTCACTCCATGGCCCTGGGGACACAGGCTGAACTGTGGATGAGGCAGAGGACTGGGTTTTCTTCTCCTTTTGGCCTGAGGGTCCCCTTCCCTTCTTTCTGCTAGAGAATGGCCTGGCCCTACCTTGGCTGCTTTCTGAGTCAGGAGACAGCTCTTCCTCAAAGTGGAGTCATTCCCATCACATTCTGAGGGTGGCAAAAGACAGACAGGACACACAGACACAGCCCAGCTGCTCCTTCCCACTCACAGAATTCTGAGGGCTACTGGGCTTCAGGGTCACTTACTCAGCATCCCCCCACATTTTTTTCTGTCACCCAGGCTGGAGTAAAGTGGCACAATCTCAGCTCACTGCAACCTCAACCTCCCAAACTCAGTTGATCTTCCCACCTCAGCCTCCAGGGTAGTTCCTAATACATGTTGACTGTATGTAATCTGGTATTCTGGATTATATGTAATCTGGTACCACAGGCACATGCCATCTGGCTAGTTTTTTTTTTTTTTTGTAGAGATGGGGGTTCATAATGTTGTCCAGACTGGTCTCGAACTCCTGGGCTCATGCGATTCACTTGCTTCAGCCTCCCAATGTTGAGATTATAAGTGTGAGCCACCACATCAGGCCATCTTCTCTCTAGGCAGAGTCAGGGGCAGAGGACTGGTTTCCGACCGAAGAGAAGAGAGAAGGTTCTTCAACCTTCTGTCTGCCATGTCCCTGATGGGCGGTGGGCCAGCCTTGGCCTGAAGCAACCCTCTTCTTTGCAGGACAGTGCCTCTTGACAGCAGGTTCTTTTTATCTTGGGCCAGCTCTCCTCCTTGTAACTTCACCCACATCATGGACCCACGGAGGACCAACCCTGTGCCAGCTCCGTGCTGGGCATGGTGAGGTTACACAGAGGAATCAGACCCTGATTCATGCTCCTGTTGCCTGTAGGGAGGTCAGCATGTCCTCAGAGAGCTTCCACACAAGCTACAACTTGATCAGTGCCATCACAGGGGGTTCTGTGAAGGAAGAAATAGTCCTACATGTCAGAAAAAAAGGATCAGGGAAAACCTCATGACAGAGGTGGCATCTGGGCTAAGTGGACTAAAAAGTGAGCCTAAAAAGAAATCAGGTATGCATGGGTAAGGAGAGGGAGGGAGGGCACTCCAAGGGCTGATTAGATCATATGAGAAAAGCAATGAGGTTGGAATATTCCAGGATCCATTAAAGCAGATACAGAAGGACTTGGCAACTGACTGACTGTCTGGTAAAATTGGGAGTGCGTGGGAGAGAAGTCAAAGATGACGCTGTGACTGCAATGCTGGGTGACCAGCACGGAGTGGGGTGGGGACATTAACAGAGAGGATGATAATGACGATGATACAATATTTGCACAGTGCTTTGAACTTTGATCAATTACTTTGCAAATAACATCTAATTTAAGTCTCAACATACCCCATGTGGTAGTTATCATTCTCCCTGTTTTAAATATGATGAGACAGGTCTACAGAGGCTTGGGGCATTCCTGACGACCCACAGCCAGCAGGAGGCAGAGCTGAGCCCAACCTAGGGTGGATGTTATCGCAGCGTCTTAATACATCCACCCCAGAACCTGTGTAGTGTTTGCAGTCCTCAAAGTGTTTTAAAGTAGACTTTATTTTTTAGAACATCTTTATCTTTCCAGAATAATTGCAAAGATAGTACCTAGAGTTCCTGTCTATCTTACACCCACTTACCCCTGACATCTTACACTAGTATGATACATATGTTAAAAATAATGAACCGATGTTAATAGATAATCATTAGCCAAAGTCCATACCTTATTTAGATTTCTATAGTTTTTACCTAATGTCATTTTTCTGATCCAGGGTACCAGATTACACACAGTCATCATGTCTCCTTAGGCTCTTCATGGATGCTACAGTTTCTCAGATTTCCCTTGTTTATGATGGCTTGGACAGTTTGAGGAGTGCTGGTCAGGTGTTTTGGAGAATGCCCCTCTATTAGAAGATGTCTGATTTTTTTCCCTCATGGTTATACTGGGGTTATGCTTTTTGGGAGGAAGGTCACAGAGGTAAAGTGCCATGTTCATCACATCTTATCCATGGTACATACTATGAACATGGCTTATCGCTGTTGATTCTGACCTTGATCATCTGGTGGAGGTAGTGTTTTTCAGGTTTCTCCACTGTAAACTTACTCTTTTCCCCTTTTTCCACACTGTTCTTTTTGGAAGTCACTATGTGCAGCCCACACTTACAGAGTGGGAAGTTATGCTCCCCCTCCTTGAAGGCAGAGAATCGACATAAATTATTTAGATTTTTTCTGCCAGGGAGATTTGTCTCTTTTTTCCCATTTACTTATTTATATCAGCATACACTCATGGCTATTTATTTTCTACTTTGAGTTATAATCCACTACATCTTTATGTCCTTACTTGAATTCTTTCAGTTGATTCCTTGTCCCTTTGACATTGTGTGTGTATATGGTGGTGGTGGTGGGGCCTGAGTGTGTGTGTGTGTTCACGTTTTTACTTTCTGGGTCTACTAGATGCACCAGGCTTATCTTGTATCATTCCTGTCCCAGTCCTAGTATCATCCTTTTCTCCAAAAATATTACGAGGCTCTCCTGGTTCCTTTTATTGGACAATGGCATTAGGATCAAGATCTGGGTATGAGATGTGCCCATTGCTACTGGGATATGATTTATTTTAGGCATTCTCAGCTAACAGAGAAAGGAAGTACCATCAATACCTGTGGGATATTGGTTCCAGCACCCCACTCTCCACAGATACCAAAATCCACAGATGCTCAAATCCCTTATGTAACATGGTATAGAGTATTTCCATATAACCTATGCACTTCCTCCTGTATACTTCAGATCATCTCTAGGTTGCTTATAATACCTAATACAATGTCAATGCTAATATAAATAGTCATTATGCTATATTGTTTAGGGAATAATGGTAAGAAAAGCCTGTACATGTACAGTACAGACACAAGCATCCGTATTTTTTTCCAAATGTTTTCAATCCATGGTTGGTTGAATCCATGGATGCAGCACCCTGGATATGGAGAGCTGACTGTATTTGCATAGCTATGTTTATCTTTGTATATATGCATAGGTATAAATATTTTTCAGTATAACCATCTGTATCTATATGCTAACCATGACTTCATAGTGATGGTCCAATTCTAATCCATTCCACATGGATCATTCTAGCTTCTTCCTCTTGCTTATCTGTGAACATTCACTCTAACAGTAAGAAACCTGGCCTCACCATACACCATCCATTTACCTAATTGTTCAATTCCAGTATATATGTATATTCCTATTAATGCATACCTCTATAGGAAATAACTTTATCAACTAAAGTACAGTTTTTGTGCACAGCTCCTTTTGCCTTTAGTCTTATAAATTTCACTTATTTCAAAGTCACTATGTCAACACCTTTCCTCCCACTCTCTTCACTAAGATTGTTTTATAGGTTTGTAATGCAGTTATATTTTTTAATTGTTTAGTCTACACTTCATGCTGATATCCCCTCCTACATGATTTTTAGAATTTGCTTACATCAAGTTTCACTCTTAGTGAAACTTTGTGGGCTTTTGGAGGTAAATGCAACCTCCAAAATATTTTATACACATTAAAAAATCTGTACCCAACTGGGTAGGATTGGGTAAATGCAAGTGTTGTATCTGTTTTGCAGAGGAGAGAACTGAGCTCTGGATAATTTAAGTGACTCCTTTAAGGTCACATAGCTTTCAGCTACATTAGGATTTAAACCTGAGACTTTTGACTAAAAGGTGTGGGCTTTATTTCCACACAGGTGGCATGTCCAGACGGGACTAGAGGATGAGTGGGTTGAACAAAGAATATGATGTTTTAGACATAATGATTTTGTGCTTTTTCAGGGATTTTCTGTCCCCCTGGGCAGGAACTCAGAAGGATGATTGTGGCTTGTTGCACAGTGTCTTTCCTTAAAGTTTCAAACCCTGATCGTTCTGTCACTTCACTGTGTCACTCTCCTGGTTCACTTTCTCTGGTTGGCTGTTGGACTTAGGATAAAATCTAAAAATATTTCAAGGCTCTGCCTAAGCTGGCCTTTACCTACCTCTTGAACCTTTTTAAAAATTATTTTTATTATTTTTTTTTTGTAAAGATGGGGTCTCTCTATGCTGAGCAGGCTGGTCTCGAATGTCTGGGCTCAAGCAATCCTCCCACCTCAGCCTCCTAAAGGGCTGAGGTTACGGCATGAGCCACTGTGCCCAGCCTTGACCCCTATCTTAAACGACTTTGCCTGATGGGTTCTGTTTCCTCTGGTCTTCTTTATGCCCTTACATGCATTAAACGACTTCCTGCATCAGAGCTTTTGTTGTTTTGTACAAGTTGTTCCTGTTGCCTGGATGTCTCCTTCTTCCTCTTCTCTCTTTGCCCAGCTAGCTTCCATGCATTCTTCAGATTTCAACTCAAATATCACCTTTCTATGTGCCTTGGTTTTCTAATCTGCAAAGTGGGCATGTTAGTAATACTTTGTTAATTAGATTGCTATGAGAGTTAGGTGAGTGAACATATACAAAGATATTTGAACAGCACTGAACATAGTAACTCCACGTGAAAGTTAGCTGTTGGTTATAATTTCATAATAATATTGTAGTATTATTATGGGTTTTATTATTGTTATGATAATTCTATGTTATTTTCATTCCCTAGGAAGGCCTTTCCTATCTCTGCAGACTAAGTCTCGTTCCTTCATATGCTTTTCTAACACTCAACACCTGCTAACAGCACTGATCACAATTATAATTGAATAATCAATGTTGTTAATTGCTTATTTAATGTCTGTGTCCCACACGAGTATATAATTTCCATGAGGACAGAAACCTTGTCTTATCACTGAATTCATAAAGTCTGATACAGTATGCCTTGCACATAGTTGGTGCTCAGTTAAGTGTTTAAATGAATGGTTGTGTGGATGTTTTCCTGTGGAGGGAATTATGAACTGGGCCCAATGTGTGGCCATTTTAGAGATAGAGAACCTGAGGCCCAGAGAATATTACCTCATTTCCTGACTGCTTGTCAGTGGAGTGCAGGATGTAACACATGAAATGAGTTATATAAACACCCATAAAGGGATGAAATTAAAGTTCTGGGTTGCGATGAGGTGGGGGAGGCCAGTGTTTCTGAGGCCACACTCTGGGCCACCTGGGTTCCATCTCTTCTCTGTGTCTTTAGATAACCTGAGAGTTGACCATCATTTTTATTAGTGTTATCCTCATTCTGCTACTAACCTTCTCCAATCTGAGCCTCTGCCTGCTCATTCCCAGAGAATGAGGGTAACATTTGGTTGGATGGTCCCTGATATCCTTGGGGTTCTGTCTGGAACCAGCAGGATGGACAGACCAACCAACTCTGCCCATTGACCTTTCTATCTCTCCAGAACCAAGATGGAGCCTGTGTCCAGTCAGTGTCAGTGATTCTGCATCAGGACCCTCGGAGGCAGGTGACCCTGACCCAGGCAGGGGATGTCCTTCTGTTTGACCAGTACAAGATCATCCCGCCATACACGGATGGTACGGTTGGGTGGACAACAGACGTAGTTGGGAACTGAGGGTTTCGACCTCTTTTCCCAGGCTTCTCTGGCTAAAAGCACTGCTACACTGGCAAAAATTCATATTCTAGTACTGGGTTGGTCAGGGTAGGGGACACTTTGGTTGTAAAAATGTGGACTCCAAAATGTGTCCTTGTCCCACCTCAACAGGACAGTGGGCTTCCTAGCAGTGTGATGGCTTCTCCTAACATGAGCATATGCATGGATGTTTCCCATCCTGACTCTCATAATTTATTAACTACTTGTTATACTCTCTGATTCCACAAGAAACTTATGCGTAGCTCATAAGAAACACATCTAACAAAAATGGCAAAACGAGTAAGAAAGAAAAACCTAGCACCAGAAAGAAAGAAAAGCAACAACAGGAGCTCAAGGTTGAGAGGAGTGGGAATACACTGGGTGTCAAAAGGCTGCAGAAATAAATATAAACCATAAAGGGTATAAAATGTTCCACAATAAAATCTAAAATTTAAATTTGTTACACTTGAGTCTAAAATTGTATCATGAGCTTCCATAATAAAACTGTGTTGTGGCCACTGTGAAGAGAATGGGTAGTTACAGAATCCTCCTGCTACAGGAGGAAACGTGTACCAGTTCCTTAGTGGGAGCAAAGCTTTAATTGGCACTTGATGCTAAAAAAAAATTTCTCAGCCCAGGCCGCCGTGGGAAGTTATCCCTGGGTCCCGATTTCGTCACTGAACAGGGTTTCCTCAAGCCTCCCCAAACCAGCTTCATGGCAGGCACGGCTTCAGTGTGGGGGATCTGAGCCGGCCAGGCAGGTGGCGGTGGTGGGCGCGTTGTGTACTGGCTGCCCTCCCACTCTCCCCCTTCGGATTCTGTGCCCAGATGCCTTTGAGATCCGTAGGCTGTCCTCCGTGTTCCTGCGGGTGAGGACGAATGTGGGCGTGCGTGTGCTCTATGATCGTGAGGGGCTGAGGCTGTACCTACAGGTGGACCAGCGATGGGTGGAGGACACCGTGGGCCTCTGCGGCACCTTCAATGGCAACACGCAGGACGACTTCCTGTACGTAGGCCTGCGCCGGAAGCGGAAGAGGAGGGGAAATGGGCCTCTTGGCTGGGTAATCTAGAGGTACTGCCCAAACATGCTTCTCCCATGGGCCTTCACCATTTATTGCTTTACATTTAAATTTAAGTATGTTTCTTTAAAGCAGCAGTTTGCAGTCCTCTGTGTGCGGAAGACTCACCTGGGGAGCTTGCTAACCACTGACTCCTGAGGCCCGCGCCTCAAGATTTAGGGTAGACTCAGGAATCCTATTTTTGATAATCACCTCTAAGATTCCAGTATGGGAGGTCTGTGGACCATACCTTGAGAAATGCTGTTTAGAATGAGGTCTTAAAACCCAGGACCTCAGACTGACTGATTTGGCTCATGGTTTTGTTTGTTTTAATTGAGGTGGACACTTTTGGTGAGTGTAAGCCCCTAGTGAGCCAAAGAAACAAACTTTCGCACTTTCTAACCCACCAGGCCAGTCTAACCCATGTACCTTTCCTACCTGGTACTTGAAGCCTCTTGAGTTTGCACCCCATGAGCCTCCCAGTATTCAGGGAAAGGCTGTTTTCTGTGAGCTGGCATATGGGCACAGACATAGATTAGGAACTTGGCAAAGTTCCTAGAAAGGAGAACAAAGGATTGATCTTAAAGGCTGGAGATTCTGGCCAGTCCTTCAAGTTACATGCATTAATGGATGCAGAAGGAAACAGGGGAGGCATTCTTTAACCAAAAAAGAGAACTCAGATTTGCTGTGAAGAATAAAAACAAGATAAAGCTCAGAACTTTTCAATGCATATACATTTAAAACTATGCCATTCTACTACACCTTGCCTGGTAGGGCTGATGTTAGGGTAGCTGGCCAAATAGTAGGGACAGACCCTGGTTTAGTGTGTAAGCTATTTGCCACTCTACTAAATGTGACTTCTGGGTAGGAATATTGCCCTACATAATATGAGTGCTGTCATTGCCTTGGAACAATATGTGGTCATGATGGGTGCCAGGCAGAACTTGCCCCCCATACAGACCACGACCTCCCTCTGCTCAGCACCTACACCTGCATTTGGTGACTCTTGGAGACCTGTGATGTCTAGGAAGCATGCTCATCCCCCTTCCTCCCTTCACTGCACCTTGTGTGACAGTTTCCTACTGAGACAGCCAAATGGAAGCCAAGGAGTTTTCAGGAACTGCCCTTGGAGAAGGGAGGAGGGAAAAAGCCTTACCCCTATGGGGTTTGATTCTCTTCATGATGTCCCTGTTTCTTTTTCTGACCCGAAGAGCTGGGGTTGGGGAATGAAGTGGGAAGTGTATGGTCCTAGCCCATTTTGAGCTGTTTTGTTAAATGTTATGTGTGTGTGTGTGCGTGTGTGCACGCGTGCATGTGTACCTCCATAACTCTATGTGTTTGAATGTGGCTGTGTGGACCACCTTGGCTGTCTGGCATATATTTGTGCTCTGTATGTGTGTGTGTGTTGAGGGTGTCTGCATATACATGTTATAGGTTTGGGTGAGTACACATGCTCCTCTGAGTGTGTGTATATGGATGTGTAGATTATGACTGTGTGTGTGTATATGAATAAGTAGATGCTTACCTGGATCTGTACTATTTGTGTCCCTGGGTCCACGTGGGCAAGTGTATGAATATGGCTATAACATGGCTGCAGGTCCCCAGTGGGTGTACCTGAGAGCACCCCACAGCTCTTTGGCAATTCCTGGAAAACGCTTTCTGCTTGCTCCCCGCTGGTCCCTGGCTCCCCACTGGACCCCTGCGATGTACACCTGCAAGCTGGTGAGTTGGCAGGGGAAGGGGAGAGGCATGGGTGAGTGGGGTTGGGAGGACTGCTTCTTCAAGAGATATGAAAAGGGAACTCGGGTCAGGAGGGTGCTGGCCAAATTTGTAGGAGTGCTAAGAAAAAGAGGAGCAGCAGGGGGGTGGGGAGGAGAGACAGTGAGGTCCAGGCAGACAGGAAGCCTCATAGTCTTTCACTATCAGGTAAACACATGCACCTTTATACTGGCTTCTCCATCTCAGGGCAAAGGCTGAAGTCAGCTCTGTGACCCCACCAGGCCCCACACTCTCTGCCCATGTCCCCTACTACTCCTGTGCCCTCTGCTGTGCCGCAGCTGCCCTGGCCTCCTTATCGTTCTTTCTACACAGTCAGGACTGCTCTCCTCTGCTCGCCTTTGCACCTGCAGTTGCCTTTCCTGGAATGCTCTTTCTGCAGACACAGACATCCCTCAGTTCCTTGCTTCTTTCAGATTTTTGCTCAGACATCACCCCCTTGCTGAGGCCTTCCTGACTGCCTGAATTCAAATTGCCATTGACTCTCCTGCCTGGCCTTGCACTCCCCATGCTGCTTCTTAGCTTTCTCTTGCTCCTTAGCTTCTCTACTTTTGAAGTTGCTATGTGAATTTTTTAGTGATGATCTCCTTTGACCAGAATGTAAGCTCCAGGGATTTTCATCAAGCTGCATATTCACACCCAGATGTACTAAACCACACCCATATCTTCCCAGCCAGCTGTGCACTGAGGTAGCTACCTACATCCATACTGTGCACGTGCGTGCGCACGCGCACACACACACACACACACACACACACACACTCCCCTGAGCCATGGGGAGGGAGAGAGACTGAGTCCTGGGACACCGGGCAGACTGCCCTCTGACCGTATGACTCCTGTTCTTCCTGCCCCAGCCTCCTACTCAGTGCAGGCCTGCAGTGTGCTCACGGGGGAGCTGTTTGCACCCTGCTCTGCGATCCTGAGCCCTGTGCCCTACTTTGAGCAGTGCCGCAGGGACGCCTGCCGCTGCGGGCAGCCCTGCCTATGCACAACGCTGGCCCACTACGCCCACCTGTGCCGACGCCATGGGCTCCCTGTTGACTTCCGTGCCCGCCTGCCAGCCTGCGGTGAGTGCCTACCCACGTAGGGGTGGGCTGGAGGAGCTGCAGCTCCAGACCTGAGTGTCCCCTGCCCCCTCTCCACTGGGATGCCCTCCAGTCTCCTCCAGCCTGACTGCACCCGTAGCCTGCTTCTCCTCCTGTGCCCTCCACCACTGCCAATGGTCCCATCCCCTCGGTCACTCAGGCATAACACCTGGGATGTGTGACTCAGGACTGCTTCTGTTACCCTTGCTTCCACTCCATCTCAAGTCCTGTCAGTCCTGCTCATCCCAGATTCTCCCACTCCATCAGAGCCACTTTGCATTGCACCTTTCTAAAGACCACTGGCTGTTGCCCTGGGGTTTGAGTACATATACTCAAGTCATGAACCAGCCCCTACCCATCCCTACCCTGACCCTGGGCTCTGCACCTTCCCATGTCTTCGTCACCTCTGTGCCCCCAGCTCTAGCACAAGGCCTGACTCTCAGTGAGCTTTTAGCAAATGTTTGTTGAATAAATGAAAAAGGCCCTGTACTGGGAGTCAGGAGGCCTGAGCTCTGTTCCAGCCCTGCAGGTAACTTGCTGTGTGTCCCCAAGCAGGGCTTTGATGCTCTCTGAACCAGAGTTTCCCCAAAGGGGATTGGACAGGACCACTGGTTATTAACCCTGGCTGCATATTAGGGTTTCCATAGGAACTTTCAAAAGATTCACGCATCTGGGCCACATCGAGTGTCAACTAAGGCAACAGATCTGGCAGTGAGGCCCAGGCATCAGTATTTTCAGAGGCTCCCAAGTGGCTTCGATGTGTAGCCTGGGTTGAGAATAGCTGAACTTGATGGTCTCAGTGGATCTACTGGATTTCACAGCGTGTAGGAGACTCTGTGGGGAGTGGGACGGTGGCCATGCTGGCTGGTCTCGAACTCCTGACCTCAAGTGATCCGCCTGCCTCAGCCTCCTGAAGTGCTGGGATTACAGGCATGAGCCACTCTGATTTTTGAGTTTTGACATGTAATAAGCTGTACAGCTAAGATCTCAGGCAGGTAAAGTCCCCAAAGGACAGTGGTAGGCACTGTGGTGCATCCAAGCTAAAACACTACTAAAGCTAGAAATAAGTGCAGTGGCATTGCAGGATACAAGAGCAATATTCAAAATTCAATGATATTTTAATATCAGGCTGACTTGGTAGAAGGGTCCACCGATGATTTGCCATTCTGGCATATTGGTAGGCAGTGGCACTCTGGAGTCAGACCTGGGTTCAAATTCCGCCTCTGACTTTGACCTGCTGTGTGACCTTGGGCAAATGTCTTAATTTCCCTGGATCTCCATTCTCCTCATAGATTGACAGCCCCACTCCACACAACTGTGGGGGTGAGGGAAACAAAGCATGGCCTCCCTTCTCACTGCAGCACTGTCCTGTGAGGCCACCAAGGAGTATAGCCCCTGCGTGGCCCCGTGTGGACAAACCTGCCAGGACCTGGCCAGCCCTGAGGCCTGTGGGGTTGATGGTGGCGATGACCTGAGCAGGGACGAGTGTGTGGAGGGCTGTGCCTGCCCACCAGACACCCATCTGGACACCCAGGCTGACCTCTGTGTTCCCCGGTGAGTGGGCCAGCTTGGCCTCTGGGTTGGGTGGGCCGGTGAGGCCAAGGATCTCCATGACATCTGAGACTGGGGAACCATCTGAGGCTGGGCCTCTCATGTCCCTGCTTCCCCACACAGTTGCAGGCCAGACCTTGGTGGGTAATGTGGGTGGGCTCCCTCCTTGTGGTCTCCCTCCCAGCCTTGGCCTTTGGGGCATTCCAGCAGCTTCCTCACAAGGCAGAACAACCCCACAGAGCCCAAGGGCCCTCTCTCTCCTCACTCCCCTCTCCTTCCACAGCATTTATTGACTTTCTAATATGTTCCAGACATTTCTAGGCCTTGGGAATTCAGAAACAAACAAAGCAGAGTTCTGCCATCCTGGGGCTCACATTCTAGGGTGGCAAGACAGACAGACAAATGAACAGACACTTAATGGACAGGTGGCAGCAAGAGCTGTTGAGCCAAGTAAGGCAGAGTGAGAGTAGGGAGGCCCGCTCCTGGTGCGTTACTTGAGGTAGGCCTGGAAAGCAAGGCCTTTCTGCTGAGGTGAGGTCTGAGCAGAGGCCTGAGGGAGTGAGGGAGGGGGCTCCAGGAAGAAGGGGTGGCCCAAGGTTCAGCTTGTTCTCGGTGTGGCTGGAGGGCAGAGCAGGAGGAGGAGAGTGGGAGGCGGTGGCCCCATTTGATTCTGGGGTGACTGGCAAGGTCCTTGGTCCCCTGCAGGTCTCTGTTTCTCTGTCTATAAAATAATACCCATTTTATTGGTGGTTTTCAAATGGCGGGCCTCTTTAGGGTAAATAGGAATCACTCACAGTCCTTCCCAAACTACAGAATCCTCCCTTGAGACCCAGATGTGTGCCTGGCAGCTCCCACCCCTGTACGCTGAGTGCTGCCATCAGAGGGTGTCTGTGTGGCTTACCAGGGAGAGGAGGCAGTCGCTGATCAGCACTGGGGCTGGAGGAGTTCCGGCATCCCGTCCATGACTCACTGCTCTGCTCCAAGACCGGCACGTGCCTGTAATGGGCAGGTTCTGTGGGAGCTGTGTGAGGAGGAAACAGTCTTTGCCATTAGATGACTTGCAGAAAAGAAGAGAGACAGCACAAGAATCCCTACCTTACAGAATCCCTGCGAAGAATCAATGAGATAATGTACGCAGAGGGCCTGGCTAGGTGTCCCTGGCCAGAGTTCAATGTACTTAACAACCAGTGCAGCACAGGCACTGAGCAGTTGGAATGGTCGCTGGGCGTGAGTGACCAGGACTCCTGCGCCAGGCTGCAGCACCCACTTAATATCTGCCCCATTCCTGACTTGGCGTGGGCTCAGGAGCCATGCTCCTGTTCGTTCTGCTCCTCCCTTCCTCGGTCCAAATGAGCTGGCTACAGGAGACTATGGAGACCAGTAACTGTCCTTGTCTAAGCTTGGTGCATGGCTCTGAACCGGGGACCCAGCCCTGACCTCTGTCCCTGGTGCCAGGCAGGCTTTTCTGCTCGCTGGTGTTGTGTCGCATGTCACCATAGACACCATTACTTTTCCCTGTGTCCTTATGCCCCTGGTTGGCTGAGGGTGCAGTCCCTTTCCTTGGCAGTCCCTGCTTCAGCTCCTGAGCCTGCTCACCTTTCTCTGCTCCTGCTTTTTATAGGAACCAGTGCTCCTGCCACTTCCAGGGAGTGGACTATCCCCCCGGAGATAGCGACATCCCATCCCTGGGCCACTGGTGAGCTCTGTAGGTGACAGCCTTCTTGCCCTCTCTTTAAAGGGAGGCTGCTGACTGAAGACAGTGCGGCTGAGTGGAACTTTCTGTGAAGGGACACCCAGTCCTGCTCTGTGCAGGGAGGGGCAGTGAGTGAGGATGTCTATCTGAACTCTGCAGTGACCCGAGGGCGGCGATATGGGGTGTCTAGGTCCTGCAGTGATTGGGACGGCTAACCCTGGGGGCTTTCTCTCTCTACAGCCACTGCAAAGATGGAATCATGAGCTGTGATAGCAGAGCTCCAGGTAAGGGTGACTGGAGGGGTGGAGGCTTTCTGGGGGCTCCCCATGGTAAAGGAGAGTAGGGAGTGGGGCGCTGATCAGGCCGTAGCAAGCCTACTCAAGGTTTTGCCCTACACTGGGCCTTCTGTGTTCCTTGCCCTCATAGCAAAGACTCCAGCTTGGAGGGTGGCACCTGAAACCCTGTCCCAGCCTCAGCCCCACCCTAGTGGCTGTCTCTGATGCTTGTGGAGGAGAGGCTGAGACTCTGTCTTCCTCCGGAGCAGCCACCTGGGGCAACCATGTTGGGTGTCTGGGCAGTTTCTTGACTTCCTTTGAGTCCTGATTTCCTCTGTCTGAGCTGTCATGTATCTACTGAGGCAGACTCTGCCCAGGACAGTGCTGGGGGTGGGGTCACAGAGATGGGCAGGACAGCCTGGACTTTTGAGACCCTCCTAGGCAACAGAGACAGGGATGGGGCAGAACAGTGAGGGGGCAACCTTCGAGGGGCTGGGAGGTCGGGGAGGCCCTGGGGACTGGAGCATTCAGGGAGGGCTTCCTGGGGTGGAGGAAGGGATCGGAGAACAATCGTACGGTAGGTGGTTAGGAGCAGGGCCTCCAGAGTCATCCGGCCTGGGTTCAAATCTTCCCTGACACTCACTAGCTGTGCAGCCCTGGGCCACCCACTTTATCTCTCTGGGCCTTCATTTTCTCTTCAGCCATAGCCTAGATTCCTGAGTCCTCCCCATGTTTTGTGTATATTCCTGGAAGTGCTTTTCCTTTGGTCACTTCTGGCTTTGGCTTTCTGGCTCTTTGGGACTTTTATCTAACCTCTTGTGCCTGTTCCTTTCTCTCTGGTTCATCCCAGCCTGGGCATGGAACTCAGCTCCTTTTCATTAATTTTCCTAAAAACGATCACTCACACAGTATGAATGTGCAGGGCAGACCTTCCTGAGGGCTCAGGGAGAGAGGGTGGGTTCGTGTCACAGAATTAATGGTAACAGGACGGTGACTCTCCTGGTCGTTCAGAGTCCTCTGGTCCCACTGTCACACTGATTGCTCATCCTCTTGCTAGCCCCTCTCCCGGTCCCTCTGGGGCACTTCTCACTTTATGATGACTTTGGGGAGGAGAAGTGGCTTCACTCCATTATTTGGGAAAATGGGGGGCAATAATAATTCCTAGAGTTGTTGCAGGCTTCAATAAGATGACGCGGGGGACGTGCCTGGAGCAGCCTGGTATGGGGGACGGGCAGCGATGGTTCCTGGTGGCCGTGGTCCTGTTGTGTGACAGATAGCACACATCTATCCCCCCGTGAGGCTATCTGGGAAACCAAGCAATGCCCAGGAGCAGCAGGGCCAGGAGGAGGCTTCTGAGCCCATCTCCCCCTCCCTCCATCCTCCTGCTGCTGCCCCTGTAGCCCAGGAGCCCATCCTGAGGCCCCAAGCCCTCTGCTCCCATCTTCTCTCCCAGCTGCTGCCTGCCCAGCAGGCCAGGTCTTCGTGAACTGCAGCGACCTGCACATGGACCCAGAGCTGAGCAGGGAGAGGACGTGCGAGCAGCAACTGCTGAACCTGAGTATGTCGGCCCGTGGCCCCTGCCTCTCGGGCTGCGCCTGTCCCCAGGGGTAGGTACTCATGCTGCCTTGGGCCCACGACTCTGAAGGCTGGTAGAACCAAGGGCCGCAGGGTGGAGTGGGGGCAGGGAAAACATCACACAGCCTCGTAGGAAGGCACTGGCCTGGGCTGGCCAGCCACAGCCATCATGGCCAGCAAGGAGTGTGGAAAGAGGAGGGGCTGGGGATCCAGCCTGGAGTGTGCCCTGTAGGAGGGAGAGCCCTGGGTACCCATCTGTGAAATGGAACCATCATCACGCCCAGCACCTTCACAGGCTGCTGTAAGAAATCAATGAGCTCGCTCAGTGGAAGTACTGAGAGGGGTGTCGGGCACGCTGTGGTGCTGCCATTGGTTGGTCACTGGAGAGGAAACCCAGATTCAGCTCTCAGCCCCTTCCCCTCAGGAGGAGGGTTGATGCCTCCGAAATACTCAGAGACGAAGACCCCACCTGGAGAAAACTGTCCCCTTCCCAGGTCCCCCAAACTCTGCCATTAAAGCTGAGAGCTGCGTGGTCAGGCTCTATGGGCATGCCTGTGTGGGCTCTGCACACTGAGGTGGCCCAGGGCCCAGCACCCAGCTCTGCCCCTTCTCATTCCCAGGTCTGGGCTGAGAAGACAGCTGGTACCTCATCTCCTGGCTCAGCAACACCGGGCTGTGACCTTCAGCCTGTGCAGAGATTAGTGGTCACTTGGGAGTCATGGCCCAGGCCTGGTAGCCAAGGAAAATGAGATGGGGGTCAGGGCGTCTAGGGTGGCAAGGGGAGGGGACAGTCAGTTGGAGCTTTACTGTTTCTAAGACACTTGGGTGTTGTTACCCCTTTCAGTCTCAGAGCATCCATGATAGAAAGGAGGGGAGGACCATGATGCCCATTTTGCCGATGAAGAAACTGAGGCCAGGGGCAGGGTGGAGGGAAGTGGTATCCAAAGAACCAGGACTCAAACCCAAGTCTCCTTACTCCAAGCCCAGCCGCTGGCCCAGAGCACGTGAGGTCCAGGGTCTGGTCTCCTACACAGAGATCATAATGTAGGTTGTGAGCCTGCCCCTTCCAGGCAAGAGTGTCTGAAAGAGAACCTGCAAGCAATCCTACACCTGGCCATCTGCTGCCATTTGGAACCCGGAGTGACATGTGAGGAGTATCTTTGTCACTGAAGGTCCCCTTGTGATGCCATCCTGTGTGCACAGCCTGCATCTCAGCCTGAGGTCAGGAAAAGCCAGGGCGCCTGGGGTCAGGAACCGAGGGTCACTCACTGCCAAGGGTGGTGGCAAGGCCACAGAGGCACAGTGGAAAGGGTGCCGGACTGGAGACTGGGAGACTGGGCTCTGGGCTCAGTTTGGCTGATGACCCATTGCGTGCTGTATCAAAGCCCCGCTAAGCAGTTTGTCAAAGTGAAATTGGTACTGTCTCAATTTGTAAGGGAAGGGCAGGCATTTTCTACTATCCTGGGACATCCTGTTGCTGGGACAGGGCTCCCAAAGATGCCTAAGCATCCTTAACAACCCCTGCCTAGGACCCTTGGAACCGATGATCACCTCTGTGTATGAGAGTTCTGGCTGTCTGGTCACCATGCCCTTCTCTGTAATGTGTCTAAGAATCTCCAAAGAATGGTCTGTGGTTGTCTGTACACCTCCATGCTTTTTGCATCTGGGAACTGAGCCAAGGGCCCTGGGGCCACTAGGCCATGAGACACAATGAGCACAGATTCTGGAGTCAGGCTTGAACCCTGGTTCCACCACTTCCCAGGCTGGTCTCAAGAGATCCTCCCAAAGTGCTGAGATTACAGGTGGGAGCCACTGCAGCTGGCCAGCCTTACAATTTTATTTTTTATTTTATTTTATTATTTATTTATTTATTTATTTATTTATTTTTTTGAGACGGAGTTTCGCTTGTTACCCAGGCTGGAGTGCAATGGCCTGATCTCAGCTCACCGCAACCTCCGCCTCCTGGGTTCAGGCAATTCTCCTGCCTCAGCCTCCTGAGTAGCTGGGATTACAGGCACTCGCCACTATGCCCAGCTAATGTTTTGTATTTTTATTAGAGACGGGGTTTCACCATGTTGACCAGGATGGTCTCGATCTCTTGACCTCGTGATCCACCCACCTCGGCCTCCCAGAGTGCTGGGATTACAGGCTTGAGCCACCGTGCCCGGCACAATTTTAGCTTTTACATTTAAGCCCATGATCTATTTAAAATTATTACATTTTACGTATGTTGCAAAATGTAGTCAAGGTCTATTTTTTTTTTTTTTTTTTGATGGACATCCAGTGGTTGTAGCCCCATTTTTTAAAGAAGACTTTCCTCTCCCATGTAATTGCTTTGGCATTTTTGTGAAAAATTAATCGACTGTATACACATGGGTCTATTTCAGAACTCTACTCTGTTCTATTGATCTGTTTGTCTGTCTTTATGCCAGTATCTACTCTCTTGATTTATGAAGCTGTACTGTAAGCCTTGAAATCAGGAAGTGAGAGTTTTTCAAATTTTTTATTTTCTTTCAAAAAGTTGTTCTAGGTCTTTGCATTTCCAAATAAATTTAGGATCATCTTATAAATTTCTACCAAAAAAAAAAAAAAAAACCCTCTGAGGTTTTGAATGAAATTGTGTTGAATTTGTAAATCAATTTGAGGAGAATTGACATCTTAAAACCAGTAAGTCCTCCAAACCACAAATATGGTATTATTTTCCTATTTATTGGTCTTCTTTAATTTCTCTCAGCAATATTTCATAGTTTTCATGTAAAGGTTTACGCATTTTTTCATTGAATTTTTTCATAGCTATTTGCTGTTTTTGTTTACATTATAAATGGTATTATTTTATTAATTTTCCATTTTTTTATTGTCACAATATAGAAATACAGTCAATTTTCACATATTGACCTTGCATTCTGCAATCTTGCTAAATCTATGAGTTCTAGTGGTTTTTTTTCGATAGATTCTTTAGGATTTCAGTAAGTGATTGTGTCATCTGTAAATAAAGATAGTTTTACTTCTTTATTTAAAAATTTTGCATCGCATATGTTCCTTGCCTTATCGTGCTGTATTGGACTTACAATATACTTTTGAATAGCAGTGATAGAAGTAAAAATCATTGCTTTTGTCTTACTTTGGGTAAAGCAGCCAGTCTTCTACCATTAATTCTAACATTAGTTGTAGTTTTTTTGCAAATGATTTTTACCAGATTAGGGTAGTTTCTTTTTATTTCTATTATGGTGCAAATTTTTATAATAAATGGGTATTGAATTTTATCAACTGATTTTTTTTTTTTTGAGACGGAGTCTCACTCTATTGCCCAGGCTGGAGTATAGTGCCGTGATCTTGGCTCACTGCACCTCTGCCTCTCAAGTCCAAGTGACTCTCATGCTTAAACCTCCAGAGTAGCTGGGATTACAGGCATGGGCCACCACGTCTAGCTAATTTTTATATTTTTAGTAGAGGAGGTTTCTCCATTTTGGCCAGTCTGGTCTTGAACTCCTGGTCTCAAGTGATCCTCCTGCCTTGGTCTCCCAAGTGCTGGGATTATGTGAGCCACTGCACTCAGCCTGTCAATTGATTTCATTTATTGGAATATCGTATGATATTTTCCCTTTATTTTATAAATGTGGCAAATTACATTGGTTGATTTTTAAAATCTTAAACCAGGCTTACATTCCTGAGATAAACCCTAGTTGTGACTGATGTCTTATTTAATATTCTATGGTCTGTGGTTTTCCATACTTGAAATGTTTTGTCTGATTTTGGTATCAGATTAATGCTGGTCTTATAAAATGAGTTGAGAAGTATTATTTTGCTTTCAATTTTTGGAGGAGTTTGTTTAAAACTAGCATTATTTCTTCCTTAAATACCTGGTAGAAAATTTACCAATCTTGGAGGAGTTTTAACTTCAAATTTAATTTCTTTAAAGATATTGGGCTATTCAGTTTACCTATTCCTTCTTGGCTGAATATTTATAGTTTGTGCCTTTTAAGGAATTTGTTCATTTCATCTAAGTTGTCAAATTTATTCACTTAACATTGTACATAATATTTCCTTATTTTCCTTTTACCATCAGTAGAATCTATAGCAATCTCTCCTCTTTGTTCCAGATATTAGTGATTTGAATATTTCCCCTGCCCTTTTTATCATTCAGTTTAGACAGGGGTTTGTCAATTTTATTGGTCTTTTCAAAGAAGCAATATCTGGTTTTGTTGATTTTTCTGCATTGTTATTCTGTTTTCTATTTCACTAATTTCTGATCTTATATTTATATGTTTATTTATTTTTGAGATGGAGTCTTGCTCTGTTGCCCAGGCTGGAGTGCAGTGGCATGATCTCGGCTCACTAAACCTCAGCCTCCCAGGTTTAATGATTCTCCTGCCCCAGCCTTCTGAGTATCTGGTATAACCGAAGCACACCGCCACACCCTGGTTAATTTTTTGCATTTTTATTGGAGACGGGGTTTCACTGTGCTAGCCAGGATGATCTCAATCTCCTGACCTCGTGATCTGCTCGCCTCGGCCTCCCAAGGTGCTGGGATTACAGGCGCAAACCATCAACCTGGCCATCTTTATTTCTTTCTATTTACTTTGGATTTAGTTTGCTCTTGTATTTCTAATTTAGAGCTTTTATTTCATTCCTTTCCATTCTGCATCCTGACCTGGACATTCTGGCCACTTCAGAAGCCCTGAACCCCATTTCCTGTCTGCTCTCCTCAGGGGGACATCGTGCTGTGCTTGGGTTCCATTATCCTGTACTATAGCCTAGAAAGTGACTCCAGGCAGAAAATCTGGATACAGGAGCAATTAACAGGAGACTCCCTTCAGTAAAATGCCTGTAGCACCCTTTCTTTTTACCTCTTTAAGCCATGTGCTTGTATTCTTTTCAAAAATAAGAAGGTTGAGTAACTTGTTTTAGTTAGATCCTGGATTTGAACGAAAAATTATTTATTGCCAAAGTTTGTGTTCTTTTTTTTTCCCCCATTTATTTATTTTATTGCATTTTAGGTTTTGGGGTACATGTGAAGAACATGCAAAATTGT